TATATTGGGAAAGTCATTGTGTTTTAGCCCTATTTAGGTAAATTACTCATAATATTATTTGAAGTGATAAAATTTTAATATATCAAAACTAAATTTTAAAATTAATATTATGATATTAAATTTATATCATCATAAAATATATTTTTTCATAATTTGTAGTCCACTCGATCGAATATATCCGAAACCGAAATATATCCGAACCGGACTAGACCCGAAACCGAAATATATCCGACTCAAATTGTATCCGAATCAAAATCTATCCGAACCGATTCATAACCGAACCGTATCTGAACCGACTCGAAACCGAACCGAACCGAAAAATGTATAGAACCGAAATCAAATCCGAACCGAAATTTAACCGATCCGAACCGAACCGAACCGATTATAACATATAACCGAAAGATATCCGAACCGAAAAAGTTCAATCCGAAACCGATCCGATTGATCCGATTGCCACCTCTAGTGTTTGTGTGGCCACCCAAACAACCATTCCACATCAAACAACAACAAACTAGAATATCCAAACCATTTTACACTTTAAATAACCAAACACTTATGTATTAGTATGAAATGCACAAAATTTCAATACACAACTTTTCAATAAACCTAAACATAATACCAATCACAAAGCAGATTAATAACCTACAGATTGATACAGTACCATATTATTAACAAAGCTAGATGCATAGTAAGTCCCCATTAGTGCTAATATTGAACCATGCATTGTACAAAGCTAAAGAAACACCAACTAATACAGTCCACACACACAATTCCTGACTGCAGCTGAACACTATCAAACTCCACCGCACCATTTTCAAAAACACAAATTCTTACAATACGATATCCTACAACTCTCATCACTGCTTACCATACACCAATAATACGTTAATCTGAAGCCCGTCTATAACATTTTCCTCACTCACACTATCACATTGCTCAGACCAAAACATGCCTCTTAATCATCCCAATTGAATCGCATAAATATATAAAATGCAAACAAAGTATATAACTATTACGAATGCAATGCACAGTATTAGTAACAAAATGAAAACTAAACAATAGCTCTTCACCAGGGAAAAACCCATGAATTAGCAGAACGAACACTACAAAATAAGCCAAACCATGGCATACATTGGCACCAGCACACTGCTGTATCCACTCAATGCAATATAACTTCACCAATACACACAAACCAAAATGTAAGAAACACCATAACCTATACACAATCACCATAGGCATCGAATGCATATCTGAAAAGCAGAATACTTTACGAAAACCTATATTCTTTATATAGTACTAAAACATTAATTCAACACTACAATGCTCATATAAAAACTCAGAAGGATGTCTATTGCGCCACAACAATATAATCCTCTTTAAAAAGGCCAAACATGTTGCACATTCACAATAAATTAGTGCAGATATGAAAAGGACACCTTAGCCAGAAACAAACACTCAATCAAATCAAAAAAATGCACTAAAGCCTATTCACAGGAAACAACTGTGGAACACTTGGCACACAACTTAAAATGTAAAGTATAACACCGCAGTACACATGCTTCAATCACCAAAACAGCATAACAACATAAAAAACCCAGATATCCACATGCAATACACGAAACGCACTAACACTACGCAAGTCATTTTGTTTAACAAATAACAACACCATCTATTAAGTACACTATAAGGACAACAAATAGCATAAAAACCCCATATACATGTTCGCAACCACTGAAAGAATTTAACAAAACACAATAAACACTAAAATCAAAATACAAATTCACATGGCTCAAATTTAGAACACCCTAATTTTTTAAACCAACCCAAACTGCACATCAACCTCAAGATGATGCAAACACAAGACACTGCAACACTTAAAATCATCAAAACATAAATAAACATCCATCCTTCCTATAGTTATAATGCACAAAAAACCCACAAACAACTTAAAAAATAAAATCAAACCCCCATTTTGTCCCAAATTCAGAGAATAAAAAAACACATATCCTCGGTGTCAAATGACTGCTTGAAAACCAGCACGCACCACTGTCTCCTCCCTCAACCAAACCCACGAAATTCAACCCAAACGATAAAAAAACAATTTTGTGCTCTCCGCAACAACCTATTAATGAAAATCTACACTTACAGAACACAAACACTTATGAAAAAACTTTTAATTCCAAAACCCAGACCCTCACCCGCAGCCAAATTCACCAGTAAGACACCATTTTTTCAACAATCCACTAGTATCATGAGTAACAAATGCATCCTCAAACACATGCAAAACAAAAAACCCCCCACGCAAAACCCGTTTCGCCCAAACAACACCAAAAAAGAGGCACATATACCAGGTACTCCTTCACCCTCCATCTCTGCAATGTACTTTCACCAGTATGAAAAGCGCACAAGTCCGACCGAATTGCTGCAATAAAACCTTGATAATGAAAAATCTCTGCACCACGACCGCAAGAAAAGCTGCGCAAAAACAGCGAGGTTTATTGAGAAGTGAAGAGTTTTATTCTGAGCCTACAGCTTATTAGGCGGGATTCTTCAACATCTACGCATTTCAATAAAATCAAATCTCCCAAATATGCCCTTCCGTGATTCTACCGTAAAAAGGAGTGTAAAATAATAATTACACTTCCTATTTTAAAGATTTGGTCTCAGCCACACGATTGAACTTATCCTAGGCTCCTAATTCAATCTTAGTTCTTTCATTGATATATATTCTTATTAGAACCCACCCCTATATATATATAGGGGTACCACGCCGGTACCACGCCGAACACTTTAGAGTCGATGGGTACCAGAAAACGCCTCATCAGAATTGGAATTTCCAAGGGAGAAAAACACAAACGCCGGGGTGGAGTGATGATTCAAATAACATCCGAACAAGATGGCGGTCCAGATACGGGGTTGGAGATAGACCATATCGTTACCAAGGGCCATTTAAAAGCGAATCCGGCGTCTCAATCTCGATTGAGAGCAAGATATTCAAGTTCCAGGTCTCAGAAACGCTTTTAATTTCTGAATCCAAGAATGGTATGTCTAGATTTCTTTCTATCTCGCGATCTATTGCTCATTGGATTTCTGAATCCCTAAGCCACCCTCCGTTGGCTAGAGAGGGATGGGTGATTACAAAATTTGAAGGGACTGTAACTGCTAAATCCCACTAGGATTCAAATCAATTTGGATGTTTCGTTAGAATCAGTGCAGGAACCAAAAGGGAGATGTCTACTATTTGCATCCCAGTAGGAAGGAAATCAGAAGGAATAAGGCTTTTTGTAAAAGCATTGAATGAAGCCTTAAAACCTCAAGAAGGGATTGTTTCTGCTGGAAAGAAACTCGTTTCTCCTTGGAGAGCAGAAGCTTCAGCTTCTCTAGACCTGTCAGACCAGATAATTCGGGTGGAGAGTGTAGAGGAAGAACAATTGAGGTTTACTTCCATATCCTCAAAGCTACTGGAACAAGATGTTACACATGGTTCTATAATGCATAGCCTCACAGAAAATGGGTTAAATGATGGGTCAGTTGAGAATAAGGAACCTGAAGATGAAGAAAAGAAGATCCAAATGTTATTTCAACCAGCTTTCGATGCCTATTTCGAAACAATCTTCAGGGCAGTGGAAAGACAGGTTCTTGAGGCTTTGGCGAGGACAACACTACTGGATAAACTGAAAATGGGACTTCTTCAAAACATGTCGGGTAAGACTCTAAGAGCAACACGGGAGACGGTGAAAAGCATGGAAAAAGTGACCCTTGTTCAATTTGAAGATTCCAAATACCCAGCGTTCATTTCTTGTTCCAAAGTTGATGAAAGCCTTGTGGCGGAGTTTCTAACAGGGGAACAGGTTGAAGAGTCACAAGCTACAACTCGTTAACGCTTAATCTTATGTTTTAATGCTTCCAGGATAACAAAACAAGAAGTCCTTGGTATTTGATTTAGTTTCATTTAATGCTTGTTGTCTTAAGTATCTCAAGGGAGGGCCAAATGGAGCTGTGTTAATCTTGGTCCACTCCAAGGGTTCAAAGAAATGGGTTTTCAAGGTTTAGTTGAAGATTAGGTCTTCTACTTTAGAGTGGGTTCTGGTTTGGAGACTGGGTTTTAGGATTGGAGCAGCATACTTCTTCATCTGTACTAGCAGGGCCCAACATAGACAGCTTGGTTTTCAACTTTTGTATTTTTCTCCTTGTTAGGCTGTTATGGATGGAAAATGGACGGTAAACCTGAATGTGATCCTTGGGAAGATGAACTGCAGGAGACCCATCAATGGATGCAGTTGGGTTATTGATATGGATGCAGTAGGTCCTGCGTTTTCATATCCAGCTCCTCTTTATTTTATTTTCTTGTCAGCTGCTCCTTTTAGTTTTGTTGTTTGGCAGCTTCTCCTTGTTCTTCTTTAGTTGGTTTGGATTCTCATTTGGCCTGTTGTCGGGTTGGCCCCCCCATGTACCTTTCACTTTTTTAAATAAACTTTCTTTAATATATATATATATATATATATATATATATATATATATATATATATATATATAGACACACACACACTCCCTCCGTCCATTTTTAATGTTCAGAGTTTGACCCGGCACGGAGATTAAGGAATGTTAAATTTTACATTGACTTTCCAATTATACCCTCCCCAATTTCCTCCCCACGATACCGTCACCCACTCCCCTCAATGTCCAGGCCGATCCGACGTCTTCCATCGCCAGCATAGCCCCGCCGCCCAACCCTATCATCCAAAATCAGACATGTTCCGGCAATCCATCACAGAAAATGAAGAATCCGAATAATATTCTAAGATCTAAGCCCTGACATCTTCCATCCCCTTCATAGATCTAAATTTTTCTAAGATCTGGGCCAAATCTGAATACTCCAAAGAAGAAAATGAAGAATTCGAAGAAGAAGACGAAGAATCCGAAGAATCCAAAGGAAAGATGAAGAGTCTGAAGGAGAAGACAACGAAACCGAAGAATAAGAAGAAGAATCCGAAGAAGAACAAGAAGAAGAACAAGAAGGAGGAGGAGGAGGAGGAGGAGGAGGAAGAAGAGAAGAGAGAAGAGGAAGAAACCTGAGAAAAGAAGGGAAGAGAGAAGAGGAAGAAACCTGGGCAAAAAAAAGGACCGAAGTGGAGAAGCCGAGAAGGAAAGAAGAAATAAGAAGGAAAGAAGAAAAGAGAAGAAAAAAGAAGAAAAAAAGAGGTTGTGTGGGCTGGGGTGGAGTGTGGAGGAAAAGAAAAAAAAGAGGATAGGAATAAAGGGTAATTAGGTCTTTTGGTGTAAAAAAGATTACCAAAAATGGAAACACGAACATTATTTATGGACGGACTAAAAAGGAAAGTACGAACATTAAAAATGGACGGAGGGAGTATATATATATATACATATATATATATATATACATATATACATATATATATATATACATATATATATATATATATATATATATATAGGGGGCGGTTCAAGTGAGAATGCACCTTGGTGAAAGAAATAAGAATAAAATCTAGCCTTTAGATTTGATGCATCGTGCGGCTCAGATTGCATCCTGCACTCAGATTTTGAGGTTATGCATTTTCAAGGGATTATGGTGCATTTCTACATGATGCATTTTCAAACCATTTTGGTGCACCTAATTTTGATGCAATCCTAACCCTTAGATCTCACAATCTAAAGCACCAGATTCATTCTTATTTCTTTCATAAGATCGCATTCTCACCTGAAC